GTATGTGTGGGCGTGCATGTGTGCATGTTTGTGTATATGTATATGATCATGTGTATGTTTGTGTGTGCATACCTCTGTGTCCTCTTTAATCTTTATGTCTTTGTAAAGTGGGAGTTCTTTTTATCCAAATATCATATACATAAAAATTGAGCTTAAGAAAATGTGCCAGAGCCAGTCCTGATGAGACCTGATAGGCTAGGGTCAGATAGTAGGGGAGGAGGACCTCCTCTATCAGTGGACTAGGGGAGAAGCATGGGAGGAGAAGAAGGACAGAGGGCAGTATTGGGAGGGGATGGGGAAAAGGGCTACAGCTGGGGTACAAAGTGAATAAACTGTAGTTTAAAAAAAAATAATTTTAAAAGAAGAAAATGTGCTAGAAAACAAACAAACAAGCAAAAATTCTGCTGCTAGTGGCTCACTTTAATCCCAGCACTCAGGAGACAGAGGGAGGAAGATCTCTGAGCAGGCCAGCCTGGTCTACAGAGTGAGTTCCAGGACAGCCAGGCTACACAGAGAAACCCTGTCTTGAAAACTGAAACACAAACAAACAAAGAAGTGGAAAACATTTTAATACCAATAATTAACAGAAATATGACAATACGTCATAGAACCATGAATCTGCATGTAATATTAAAGAAAGCTTTTAGAAACACAAGAGTAAATTGCTGAGACAAAGAGAAAAAGGGAAGAAGATCAGTCTAAAAACAGATTTAATTAAGGGTATTCTTAATAACATACAGATTGGGAATCCATAATACAAAATTCCCATGTGCTCCAAACTCTGAAAATTTGAACCCTAACATGGTATCACAAATGGAAATGTCCATACTGTTAATTTTTGTTTTAAGAACAAAATAGTGAAACTGTGTTTAAAAACTGTCTTCAGGCTATGTGTGTAATGAGGTGTATATGAAACAAATCGATTTTACATTTAGCTTTGGACCCAATCCCTAAAATATATAAGAAAATATTTCAAAATATGTGAACTGTAGAACATGTCTGGTCCCAAGCATCTTGGAAATGATATTTAACCAGCTAAAGAACTTATGAAAGACTTGAACGGGTGTACATGTGGTCCTTAATGTGTACAGGAAGCACAGCTTGTTGTAATATGACTGTGATAACTTTCATGTCTTAATTTTTTCATGCTTAAAGTCAGGAGAAATCTTCTTGACCTAAGTACAGAAGAAAAGAGCCACTTTGTCAGGGCCTTGGATATGGCGAAACGCACAACTCACCCTCAATTTGTCATTGCCACAAGGAGGTCAGAAGACATACTGGGACCAGATGGCAACACACCACAATTCGAGAACATTTCCATTTACAACTACTTTGTCTGGACACACTATTACTCAGTTAAAAAAACCTTCCTTGGGGCAGGACAGGAAAGCTTTGGTGATGTGGATTTCTCTCATGAAGGACCAGCTTTCCTCACATGGCACAGGTACCATCTGCTGCAGCTGGAGAGTGACATGCAGGTATGCTCAGTTGTTCTTTTCAGGGCCTTACCCGTGGTCACTACAACTCACTTAAGGACAAGGATGAGCCGCGATGAAGCAACCGCATTATCAGAGTACTTTTGACTTCCGGGGAGCTCCCTCCCACACAGATGTCTGCTAATTCACCATTGGTCTTTCGTGCAGTGAAATGAATGTAATGTTAGGTGAGGGGGGGGAAATGAAGACCTGTTTAGGCAAGAGTTAAAAGTTTGGTCATTTTCTAAAGTTTGATAAAGAGAACAAAATGACTTAGGAAACAAGAGACATCTCACTTTCCAGGTCTTCCTCTTCTGTGGAAGGTAAGCAGTTGCCTTCTCCTGGAGAATGGTATACCTGCATGGCTCACTCTTCCATCCATACGAATCCCTCCTCAAAACAGCTGATGGTTCCAGAACCTAACCCTTTCCATTTTTCACTGAACTATATATTTTTTCTATACCCAGCACAATTTTAGGACTTATAGAAGATCCCCACACAAAAGCATCACATAACAGTAAAAAAAAAAAAAAAAAAAAAAAGACAGATGTGTTCGATTTCTTGGTGGTAGCAATCATTTCACTGTATGTGTGTGTGTGTATACAAACAAGTGTGTATATATGCTGTGTGTGTATATTCACACATATATGTTCATATATAAAAAAACACCATTTCATGTACCTCCCATATATATAATTTATAAAAGGACCTCAAAATGGCATATCTGTAGAAACTAATTGTCTTTTAAAGTGAGATATTTTAAAAGGAAACATAAAACAGACCTCAATTCAAGCACAGTAATGTTTGTTTTGTTTTGTTTTGTTTTGTTTTGTTTTTAAGCAGATTCACTCAAAACACACTAGTGTATATGGTGGCATAAGCCTTTTCACTAATTGAACTGATTTTTGAGAAAAATAGTCATTCAACAAGTGAGTAGTTTTGATTTTGTAAGTTCAGCTCAATGATAAAGTATTTGTCTAGTAAGCACAAGGCCCTAGGTCCAATACCCAGCTCAATTTTTGTTTGTTTGTTATTTGGTTGGTTCTCTGTTTTATATTGTTTTTGTTTTTCAAGACAGGTTTCTTTGTGTAGCTCTTAGAGCTTACTTTGTAGACCAAGGCTGGCCTTGAACTCAGAGATCTGCCTACTCTCTCCCAAGTGCTGGGATTAAAGGTGTGCACCACTACTGTCCATCAAAAGTTACCTATTATTGGGTTCAATTATAAATTCTATAAACTAAGCTTGTTTCCTATATGAAACAAGAATCATTAGTCTTTATCACAAAGTTAAAGTCTTAAAATTAACTAAAATCACCTACAAACAAACAAAACCTGTTCAGACTCATTCGTTGTTGAGACCTTTTTGTTCATTTACTGGGTGCTGTGCTAGCATTGCAAGGGAAAATAGTGGTTAGAAGAGACAGAATCGATGCACTACACCACAGAAAAAGACAGTTGTCAGGACTCTGTCCATATACAGGTTGATGCTGATTAACTGAGTCCATCTAGTCCCCTCAGCATCATATTTTAAAGCTCTGGTTACAAGAAAGACATGTAATAGATTATGAGTAGATAAATCTGTCATCTGTAACTGACTCTAGATCTTCATTACCTCAAGGCGTCTTCCCAATGACACACCAAAATTAAAAAGCAGGTTGGAAGTGTCTAAAAGCCTCAGTTCTGCCAGGGTAACCTCCCCCTTGACAACCTACATTTTTCTAGCCCAGAGCACAAGGCATTATCATGTTCCAGGCTACGCGTGATATGCAACACCCTATGAATGTGCCTGAGTGCCAGCTGCCCAGACACAGCTGGTCTTGACTCACAATGAGCCCTTGGAAGTTGCCACTAACGTCCGTGAAGAACAAGGACAGTTTTTGTATGCATAATATAAACCCTTGGAGATCAGTAACTGGAGGTGCTTTGAAAAGCTTTCAACTCTCGAACATACCCAAGGATAAGGAGATGCCTGCCAGAAGGGAGCTACAGTAAAAGAGCAGAAATTCACCAGGTGTTTGAAAGACACAGAAGGCAAAAGCAGCTCCACACTAAATCTCCTGCTCTGCAACTCTCCCAGGGCCAAAAAAGGCAAATGAGAAAAGCAGTATTTTAAGGAATCTAATAAAACAAAGATGTGTCCTTGGCCTCAAGCATTTTCAGAAAGTGTGATTGGGTTTTAAAATGGAAACTAGGTCATTGGTCTTAACAATAATAGGCACAGAATTCATTCTGTTGCTGTTTAGCATTTTGGCTGTGAGCTTCAAGAAGATACCTGTCTTCCTAGTATCCGAGTGTAGTCATAAACAAAACTCCTTTAGTGCTTTGCAAATAGAATCTGTGTGAGACAAAACATGGGGTCTGTCAGCAAACCAAAATCTACCTAACTAAAGTCATTCAGGCCACAATAAAAAACAAAAGCCAAAAAGTTACTGTTACTCAAATCATTTCACAACTGAGATCACATGCTGCTAAGAGTTCATGGTGCTTCAGTTAAAAATAGAAAAGTGGAATAGATAGAAACATCAAGAATTTTGATATAACTAATAGAAATGCAATTATCTGCCAATAATGAAAACAATGTTTCCCCTAAATTATTTGTAAAAATTTCTGCATGAAGTGAGTTTCATTGCTTCTACTGCCTATATGACTCCTTCAACTAAATTCCAAACTTTGTTCAATAAGGTTCTTGACTTTTCTGGCATCCCAGACATAAATGATGCACTCACTGGCTCCTTATGTAGAAATAGCTAAAGGAAAAGGACACCAGAGCCAAGCAGGCAAAGAGACAGGATATAAGTAGAAGCAGGGACCACTAATGGATTTCTATCTTCTAGGAGATGCTGCAGGAGCCTTCTTTCTCCCTTCCTTACTGGAATTTTGCAACGGGGAGAAATGTCTGCGATGTTTGCAGTGATGACTTGATGGGATCCAGAAGCAACTTCGATTCCACCCTTATAAGCGCCAACTCTGTCTTCTCTCAATGGAGAGTGGTCTGTGAGTCCTTAGAAGAGTACGACACCCTGGGAACACTTTGCAACAGTAAGTTACAAATGACAGCCACTATTCTGATTCTTTATTATATATAGACATGGTGCTGCCTGCAAGGCCCTTCTTCAGGATGAAATCAGCGATTCATCTTCAGAGAATCAGTGCAGATGCATATTGAGCACCCAGGAGACTCAAAGCAGTCTACAAGGTGTTACCCAGTACCTTTTGTATTTCATTGCTTTTTCTCAGCAATTTTGTTGGTACATTTCTAACTTTATTTTCAAAAAAGCCTAGAGTTGATTAATCCTCTTAATGCACTCAGAACTGCTTAGCAGTCATGTGTCTTGGGTTGGAATTTTGCTGAAAATGTCAACCAAGAAAATCTGAAATGTGCAAAAAAAAAAAATGTTGGGGATGCTTTGGACGCAGGACAATAGGGAGGGAAACAGAGAAGGAAAATTCCATGTTTGTTCAGTCAGAGAACTAAAACCCAAAAAGGATATCCTTCATCGGGATGGGCTTCAGAACAGGAAGATGTAGTAACAGCAGTGCCGGCAGACTCTCTGCTCTCGGTGCTCCTAAAGAGAATGGACATGTCTGGCCACTGTACCTCTGCCGCAGAACACTCTGCTTTACACTGGTCTGTTCATGAGCTTTCCATTTTCTTCCTTGTGCTATCAACACAGTTTTAATTGTTGAACTTCTCTGCTATTTCTTGCTTTTTCTTCTTCAGGCATTTTCAGATTTTTTAAATATTTGATTTTCCATATAAAATTAGAGTTGTAGCCGGGATCAGTGGCATACGCCTGCAGTCCCAGCACCTAGGGAGGCAGAGGCAGGCAGGTGTCTGTGAATACGAGGCCAGCCTGGTCTGCAAAGTGAGTCCAGGACAGCCAGGGCTACCAGAGAAATCATATCTCAACAAAACCAGAAAGGAAGGAAGGAAGAAAGAAAGAAAGGAAGGAAGGAAGGAAGGAAGGAAGGAAGGAAGGAAGGAAGGAAGGAAGGAAGAAAGAAAGGAAGGAAGGAAGGAAAAACGTAGAGCTGTAATGTACTATTATGTGTGTGATCTATTACTCTGCTTGTATTTTAAACATCAACTTTTGTATTGCTTTGGAAGCTTGAAGAGACAATATGGTCAAAGGAACTAAGTACATTTTCTCACCATTAGAAAAGCATTTATCTTTGTATTAATACAAGAAACGTGATACTACATGACAGTTTCCTTTAGAAGTCTAACACCTGAGCAGTTGGTTCCACCTTGTGACAGAGGAATGAAATTGAAGGTCAGAGTATCTTCATGTGCTAATACATTCATCTTTCTCAGCAAGCTGTTATATTTAGGGCTGAGGGATTTTGGACATTTTCTAGCCATGCTGATGATTAGATATAACTATGTGTGTGTGTGTGTGTCTGTGTGTGTTCATGACCATAAGTGAATGTGCAGATACACATGTGTATATGTATGTGTAAGCCAGAGGACACCGTCAGCTGTCATGCTTTTGGCTTTGTCTACCACTTTTCTTTTATTTTTAATATGGTGCCTCACTGTACAGTTTTGACTGGCCAGCAACTCACTAGGTAGCCAGAGCTGGCTTCTAACTCAGAGAGATCCAACTGCCAGACTACAGCTTCTCTCAAGTGCTGGGAATTAACACTAGGCTCCAGGCTCTAACTAACATTTTGTGGAGGGGGTGGCCAGTCAATATTTCTTACTGCCCCAGAGACTATCAATGGCTCACAATCAAGCCTTCTACCTGCCCCCACTTTCCCAATGCCATTATTGCAAGTGTGCTCCAAAGTACTTCATTTTCTTTTCTGTAGGTTCTTGAGTCAAACTCAGGTTGCTCAAGCACTTGACTTTCTATAAGCTCTCTTCCCAGCTTAGGAGGAATGATTTTAAAAGAGTAAATGAAAATATGGCATAAGAGGAAAAAGCAAAAGTGGATTTCATTTTGTCATAGCTTTAACAAGCCTCAAAAATTCATGAGAAGTTGAAGAGTACTTATTCTGGGTTAAACACATTTTCATATTGCCCACTTTGACAATTCACGATGAAAGAATCAAGCATCAAATTTATTGAATGTGGTAAAGATAGCTGGCAAGATGGATCAGCAAGTAAAAACTCATGTTGCTAAGACTAATGACCTGAATTCAATTTCTGGGACCCACATGGTGGTCATCTGACCCCAACATATTCATGCGCATGTGTGTGTACACACACACACACACACACACACACACACACACACATACTTTTTTTTTTTTTTTCAAGACAAAGCTTCTCTGTGTAATCTTAGCTGTCCTGGAACACACTCTGTAAACCAGGCTGGCCTTGAATTCACAGAGACACACCTGTCTCAGCCTCCCAAGTGCTGGAATTTAAAGGTGTGTGCCACCACTGCCCAGTACACACACTTGATTTTTAAAATCAAACATAGTAAAGAATAAAAAAAAATAAAAAAAAACGGCTGTGTCGATCACATCATGTGTCTCATAAAGTATAAAAGTCTTACTTTGTCTTGTACAATTCTCATGGAAAATATTTCTTTCATCTACTTGTCTGAGAAGATTTTATCCATTTCCTCAATTTCATTGACATCTTCAGGAGACTGATTAGTGCATGTCCTTAGATCAAACTTCCCTCGGAGATTCCGTACTTAAAACATTGCTATCTTCTTGTTTCACTCCATTCTTTCAACTGTCATAAAAGGGCTGCCATTCATCATACAAGAAGCACTGGTTCTTTCTCCACAAGATTTTTCAAACCTATTTTTCCCTCATACATTCTGAACTTCCCATTCATTCTAATGTGGAAATTTTATAGGACTGTAAGTCATAAGACATTAGTGGCTGAATTGATAGAGATTGTCCGTGTGCAAGCTAATTTTCAAAACCACTGAGCTAAAACTAAAACGACTCAGCTGTTTTTTTGACTAACCAAAATTTTGACATCTTTTACAACCCAAACTCTCAACCATGAAAATAAACTAGGGTGCAGTTGCTTGCAACCAAAGTAGACAGAATTTTCCTTCATGGAACTTATTGATAATTCTTCAGACAGTAATCTTCAAAATACTAGTTTAAAGTCAGACAAGATGTAGGCAGGAGTGGTGGCTCATGCCTAGAATCCCAGCACCCAGGGATGCAGAAGCAGGTGAATCTCCATGAGTTCAAGGACAGCCTCGTCTACAAAGCAAGAATACAGGATAGCCAAGGCTACATAGAGAAACCCTGTCTCAGAAAAAAAAAAAAAAAGTCAGATGAGATCTAGTAATGCCCAAAGGTTTTTGATGATCATCTACAACCCCAAAATGTACATGGGCACTGTAATCCTAATACAGCTCTATATTTTATTGCTATGATATTTAATGGTTGTTAAGTTACTATAGCAGGTAGGCAAAGCTGTGCTAAGAATTCAGTACAGGACATTGGTAAATGAAAAGGAAAGCAAACTGAAGTTGCAGTGTTGTCCCTTGGAGGCCAATGGATCATTTGCCTTGTCTCTATGGGGCACTTACAAGTGTATTGATCACCATGGAATACTCAGGAAAAGTGGTCATAACCACTCTTACCCTGCCCTCTTTACCTAGGACTCCAGTTTTCCTCCGCTTCTAATAAAATAAATATAACCTTCTCAGCCTGGCACTAGATTTCTTCACAGTATAGCCCTGGTCTAGTTTCCCATCATCCTGACAGTCTGCTCCTCTCCTTGCAAGCTCTTCCCCAAAGAAATCACTTTTTACAGCAACAGGAAAGTACACAGTGACTCCTTTTCACCAAGAAAACACCAGGCACTGTGCCAGGAATGGTGAGAGAGTTCATGGTCTCCTGAGGCAAACAGAAGGAAACTTATGATTTTGTGCCATTGCCCCTCTCTAGACAATTCACCTTGAAAAATCTCTCTGATTTTAGCTATGGAAATTCTTCTCCAATAATAAAGTCATTCAGAATTCCTTATAAACTTATTCTTTTTTATCTCTCTCTCTCTCTCTCTCTCTCTCTCTCTCCCTCAGCTCCTTGTTCCCTCCCTCTCTCCCTTCACCTTTATTCTCTCCCTTAAGACATCTATACAACCTTTGGAAATGATGATGATCTTAATTGATTCTAAAAAATGGAAAATATGTGTTAATTGAAATACGCACAATATTACAAGTAGATTTGAGGGTATTTTTTTCTTATATCTCTGAAGACTTGTAACAGATGGCATTTGAATGAAATTTTTTATATTTGTGTGAAATACATATTTTGTTTTTTATTTAGTGTATAGGATTATTTTTAAAAAGAAGGAAGTTTCTCATTTTCTTACACCCTTGTGAGAAAGCTTGTTGCAACTCAGCAGCACTCAGACCCATGCCTTTCAGTGTGATAAATTTTCCTTCCAATGTGTGTGTGTGTGTGTGTGTGTATGTATGTATCAGGTTGTCTCAGAAGTAGGTCAAGATAATTTAGATGTTTTTCGCAGTAAGCCTGTCTTTTCATATTTCTTCCATAAAGATCTAGTTTTCAGTGTTCTCACTCTATATAAGAGAACAATGCTCAGACCTGTATACATTCTTTAACTGTCTGCATGCCTTCCTTCCCTAGGCACTGAGGGTGGGCCAATCAGGAGGAACCCGGCTGGAAACGTGGGGAGACCAGCAGTGCAGCGGCTTCCGGCACCACAGGATGTCTCTCGGTGCTTGGAGCTCAGAGTGTTTGACACACCTCCTTTTTATTCAAATTCTACAAACAGTTTTCGAAACACAGTGGAAGGCAAGTAAAGAAAATTGTTGTTTGGAACTGATCTAGTTAGGAGGGTAACTGGAGTGCCCCAAATTACATGGCTTTGGATGTCATATGGATTATGTGGGTTCATATAAGCTGGCTGTTGATTTTGATTCAATCACAATTTCCAGTTCAAAAATAAGGGGAGTATCAGACTCTCTTTGGTCATCAGAGAAAAGCCAGGAGGGGATTATCAGTTCAAACCTCTTAAATATCTAGAGCCTCTTTAACATGTGTAATAACTCCAAGCTGTAGCACTGGCAGGTGACTTTCATAATTATAAAACTGCTCCATAAGAAAAAAAAAAACTAAGAATAACAATCCTTTTAAGTCCCAATTACTTGACAGTTTATAAGGTCTGGTTTGGACAGTTTTATTTAGGTTCCAACACCTAGTAACAAATTTTAAAGATCTATAAGAAATTAAGTAAGTATCTACCAAGTTTTAGCTTGATTTTCCTCACTCCATAACAATAAACATATTTTTGAAGTTTAGGAAGGACTGTTCAAATAGGGTGCAATGACTTTTCTAAAATAGAAAACAATAATATTCAGATACCTAGAAGAAAATAATCATGTCTAACTTAATTTTAAATTTGTTAAAATTGAAATTGACCTGGAGTTCCCGCATCATACTTGGTAGGTGCTCCAGCCCCTTCACAGGGGATAACCTCTCTCTTTGATCTGAGATATGTAAGATGTAAATCTAGTTGTTAGTTTTAAGACTGTGCTCTTTTACTACCAAATTGTATATTCTCCTTATGTTTATTTAAATAGTATTAACTCACTGACAGAAATGATTCAATATTTAGTCCATATAGATGCTAAACTGGAATCTATAAGGCTAAAGTACTGATTTTTTTAAAAGCAATATACTATGTTTCTTGAGTCAAAAAATGAGGGAACAAGTACATGAACATGAACTAATGAATGAGTGGCTGACTGACTGAGTGAATGAATGTGTATGCCTAGCAGTTCAACCCAATCAGACACACTTAATTCTATCCCCAATCACAAGCCTCCAACTGCTTTCTGATCTATTTTGCATTTATCTACATATCTAAATATGTAGAGGCATTACAAAAATTCTCTAAATACTTTAACAGTGATCTTTCCAGATGTTTAAAACTATATAGAAAAAGTAGCAAATGGTTACACTTTAGTATGCCCACAAAACTAATTATCTGAAAATATGCTGGCAGTCATTGAAAAGAAGGGTGGTAGGAGTTTCCAGGACAGTGAGAGCAGTGCCCCCACTGGTGGCAGCAGTAACTGGATGATTTCCACTTCTCTGTTTCCATGTAGAACAATCTGTACCTTGTCAAAACTCAGCATTCATACATTCGGCCTGTTATCCTTTGCACGTCACTATTGTTAACCTAGAAGCTGCCTTTGGAATGCCACACTAACCAGCTCAGAACTAACCTAGTTCTGAGTATAGCGAGCAAATGTCACTAGCCATTGCTACAGATGGGAATCTTTAGCCTGGCGACTGAAACAACTGAAAAATTGTTTCCTTGCATAATCATTGCTGTTGACTATCCTTACTTTTATTTTCATCCTTACTTTTAAATGTAGGTTACAGTGATCCCACTGGAAAATATGACCCTGCTGTTCGAAGCCTTCACAACCTGGCCCACCTCTTCCTGAACGGAACTGGAGGACAAACCCATCTGTCTCCCAATGATCCTATTTTTGTCCTCCTGCATACTTTCACTGATGCCATCTTTGACGAATGGCTAAGGAGGTATAGTGCTGGTGAGACTCTTTAATGTGCTTTTTCCAGGCTTTGCAAAGGGATTATTCTGATGGTGGGGTTATCAATTTATGCTAGCCTTTGACACACATAAAATATGCTCCAAAATAAAGATGCAGTAGCTCTCCCAAGCAGCCATTGCCAAACATTCAAAACCACTTTGGAAACTGCACAAGTCTTTCCATATGGTCACCATTCAGGTAACACTGTTGGCATTTTTGTCATGAAAAGGTGACTGACATGTGCCCCAGGTTTTTCTCACTTATATTTTTCCATAAACCTTCTCATTGCTTTTTCATATAAAAAGCAGATGTTTTCTTGGGTTTCACAAAACATGCCATATCCGTATTCTGCTCTTCTGAGTTATATTACCTTATGGCCTCACAGAAATGGAAATTTGCTCAACTTGAAAAGTTAAAAGTTTTTATATCACACCATAGGAAATCTCTTTTAAGTTTCCGTGGATTCTTTAAAATGTTATTTTAAAGACCTCATTTACTGCACTCCTACTCAACTAAGAGAAGTGCATTGTTTGTCCAAACCATGAAATATCTTCCACTAGTTTAAACATCATAAATTTTGATACTTTGCAAATGTTCTGTGTTTTGGTCGCTGTGCCTTTAGCATGTACCTGCGCTAGTGAAGGTTAGCTCTCTACTGCTTTGTCCACCAATGAGGCCACTCACACTTCTTTGTGTGTAACAAAAGGCTCTGTTGCAATCTGCTCCATATATTTAATCTATGTTGGTCAAAAATATAGTATACTGTCAGAAATCATTTAAGAAACAGTAATTCTCCATGTGTGGTAATATCTATAAGTCTGGTATTCAGAAGTTTGAGGCAAGGGATCTAGAGTTTGAGTCCAGCCTGTGCTTTAAAGTGAGGTACTATCTCAAAAAGAAAATCAGACAGGAAGTTCCCACATAAATGCTTGCTTAATTGTCAGTCTTTAATGAATTGGTGTATACAACTCCTGCTTCGTAATTCATGTGTATTTACATACATAGCAACAACAGACAATGAATTACTTAGTTACAGCATTAGTTTCTGTCTTAGTCATTGTTCTATTGCTGTGAAGAGACACTATGACCCAGACAACTGTTATAAAATAAAGCATTTGATTAGGTGCTTACTTAACAGTTTGAGAGGTTTAGTCCATTATCATCATGGTGGGAAGCAGACAAGCATGATGCTGAAGCAGTAGCTGAGAGCTTACATCTGATCCATGGGCAGCAGGCAGAGAAATAAAGAAAGACATTGGATTTGAAGTGGGCTTTGGAAACCTCAAAGCCCATCCCAGTGAAACGCCTCTCCAATAAGGCCATGCCTCCTAACCCATCCTTCTAATCCTTCTCAAGCAGCTCTACTCCCTAGTGACTAAGCATTCAGATCTATGAGGCTACTGGGGGCCATCCTCATTCAAACCACCAGAGTTTCTTTAAATTAAAATAAGAAATTCATACATTTTATGATTCTGTCTGGGTACCGTTATCTAAGTTTTTCAGCTTCGCTAATTTGCAATCATGTTCTCCATGCCTTAATCCATATCTTTACTTCAGGCACTTGCTTTTACCAGTCCCTCCAGGATTCAACTTAATAACTGTAAGAACAAGATTGTTCTCTTTACACTAATATTTATAAAACCTTGGGTGTGTTTAACTGTGTTAATTTTATTATAGCACTATATAAACTGAAATTAATAGGTTGAGAATTAACAAAATCAGCTCTTCTTAAGTATGGTCTTTGGGGAACCAGCCAAAAATATGTAAATAACATCTATGCATCCATTACCAATGTTGTGGAATGTTAGGGAGTGGAAATAATCTCTTATTAGAAATTTCCAGAAGCTATGAAATTCTACCTTTCATACTCTGGTTTAAAAATAATTAATATGCATTCATAGAAATTTGTTAAAAGACTCTTTAGGACTAATCTAAGGATTGCTGATCAACAAGAAAGCTGTGCTTTTTTTTACTCTCCCTCAGCCTCTTCTGTTTAAGCTCTGTGTAGTTTAAGAATTCTTAACTACTTAGAAAGCAGTGGATGGAGACAGGCCATAAATAGTATTCAGCCTGTGACATGAAACATGATCCTAAACTGTGGAAAAAGTCAATGCTGAAATTTTTAATGAAAATGAAAACTGACCAATCAGACACTTTCTCAAATATTCCATTTCTTTCTAAATGTCCATTGGGAAATCATGAAATAATGAGATCAGCATGAGTAAGAACTTAGGAAGAGTTTTTTAAAAGTTCTACAAAGCAGAAGGCTTTTTGAATGAGTCCAGGAGCAGTGAAGATAGGGTTGTTTTTCTGAACTCTGTCAAAGTTTTCCAACATATTGAAGGCTCTTCAGAAACCATAATTGTAGAAATTTAAAAACCAGAAGTCAGAATAATAACAGTAAAAAAGCTAAAGTAGGATATTGCCTTACAGTATGATGGTGCAGAATCTTATTGTTGGACACAATACAATACAGTACAACATATACAAATGCTGAGAATAATTATGGTCATGCCTACTCATTTATTTTGTGAGTTTGTTTACTTGTTTATTTGTTCTGAACAGAGTTTCACTATGTAAGCCCAGCCTACAACTACCTATATAACCCACTATGGCTCGAACTCAATGATCTGCTTGCCCTTGCCTCTCATCACTACTATTTTAAATCTAGGCAACATACAATCCAATATCCCTCTTCCATTACTTTAGAATTATGTGTTATTTCAAAAACAGTAGCCCAAAATTCCATGTTTTTTTTTTTTTAGAAGAAACAGTTTGTACATTTCCCAAAATGATTACTACTTCTTGAGATAGAAAGGAAATGAAGCATTCATAAATCCATTCACAAACATTACTTGAGGACTTAATGTTTCCTGGACAACATACTAGGTATCAGAATTAGCAAGCAGAACCAGAAATAGTTTCCTCCTGGAATTTTCCCACTTGTTGGTAGAAATTAAGATAGCCGAATGTAAATCAATATAGTATAGTAGAAAGTGGAAAGTTGCTGTAGGTAAATAAAACCAGAAAAATGGGATTGGGAATGATATGTGGACAAATGAAAGATCATTACAAAACAAAGGAACAGGAAGAAGCCTGCTATGGCTGGAACGGATGGGTATTGGGAAGAAGAGGTGGGAGCAAGTGGGGTCTGCAGGAAAATGGGAAGACACTCAAGGTCACTGCTTTACAGCCTTGGAGAAATGGAGCTCTTAAGAAGCATCTTGCAGAGCAAAGTTACATGAAATCCAATTGTGGCTGCTGTTTTTGCTATGATTTCTCGGCCCATTTCAGTGAACTTTTTCCTGTAGCTGAAGACAAACTGAATTTAGAGTGATCAAGTCAGGATTCAATGAACAGGTAAAATGGAGAGTTTAAAATCGTAGTTGAATTATGAGCCTCAACATGTAACTTTCACAGGTTACTATCACGACAACAGGATGTGGGGCTTTGAGGACCGGAAGTTGACTTCTTTGTTCAGTGGACCTACACCATGAAATACATTCGAATAAATATTTTATTTCCTGTAATATATGGTAAAGCTAAAGTCACAGAAATACAAAAACCATCTCCATTTCTGTGCCTGACTATTTCTCAAAGTAAATGATGAATCATCCTTCCATAACTCCTCCGCAGATAATAAACCTCCCACAAAAGGAAATCCTAACCCCGGGCTGGCCTCACATGCTCCAGGTTTCCTACAGAAAGCAGTCAGTTCCCCTCTGTGGCACAGATCCAGCTCTGGTTTTGTGGTATTCTGTGTGGTGTTTAATAGCACTCACATAGTTACAAGAAAAACACAACTCACTTTTGACACAAAGAACCTATCCTCACTTTCATCCTTGATGACAAAAGGCCACTAAAAAGATTAATGCCTTCTTTTTAAATGGCAGTTTTCGCAGACGGAGGAGAGGCAACAGGAAAAAATAGTGTGTTAGAAATCAGATTCAAATTTTAAGAACTTCTTGCTTAAGTTAAAGATGGCCATTAATTTAATACTGATTTCTCTCTGTGTAAACTGAAAAAAAAAATAGAAATATTACATAGATAATTTGAGGTCAAGGACTACCATCTGTCGAGTTTGAATTACAGACCATGGTAGAAAAAGGGTAGGACTTGCTCTTTGTTGAATGAAAAATATGCCTTGTGGATTTATTTAAATTAGCGTGTGTAGTTTTAAAACTGAAGAGGTGATGAGACTCTTATATAGAAATGTAACTCAAGTTCATTGACTTTAAACATTCTATCAAGACGAGCGTTGGTGCCACATTCTCCCTGATGTGTAGTGACACTTGCCTTGTGCCTATATTTAATGTAAACTGTGAAAACACTTTCCATATGCTTCTGCACATTACCCATTTCAGAACTTAACAACTACTCTGGTATCAACTTCCTATCATTTTAGATATTTCGACCTTCCCACTGGAAAACGCTCCAATTGGGCATAACAGGCAATATAACATGGTACCATTCTGGCCTCCAGTTACCAACACAGAAATGTTTGTTACTGCTCCGGACAACCTGGGATATGCTTATGAAGTTCAATGGCCAGGTCAGTTTTGTCAGTGTATGCTTAGTGTGGTATTCTCCAAAAGCAAACTTGTCATCTTAAAAGTAAGGTCCACACAGTCATGAGGTAAGTGTGTCATATTGGATATAAGGCTTTCCCATAGATTCTTGGACTAACAGGTGGAAATTTATCACTTACTGAGTACTCACTTCGAACGGTATTGAAATAATTGTGCAACACCCTATCTTATTTAATCTTCATAATCTTTGGAGACAAGTTTTTTATTTCTCACTTTGCAAATAAAAAAACTCAAAATTATGAATTAATTCTAAAACAAGAAAGGTTATATTTCCCACAAAGGAGAGAATACGTTTTAAACTTAGATCCCTATAAATGATGAGGTGATGAGATATTCAAAGCTGATTTTCTGAGATTTTAAAAGTCAAGACTTACAACTGTACATTTTCCTCAAGGAAAGTAACAGTATATCATGAAAGACCACAGAATGTGGGACTTGAAAAGACTAGTCTCTAAAACCAGCAGATCTTCCTAGAGCCTCTCAATTCTTTCAGCTATCATGTTTTTAACTTTAGAATGGCAGTTGATCTCAACATGTCTCACTCACAGAAGGAATTAAATACTTTCAAATGGCAGGTGCTAGGCTTAAGCAATATGGCCAACAAAAACTAAATAGGAGGGTCTTACCCAGAGTGCCTTGAGCAGTGCCTAAATGCAAGCTGTCCGTTTGCTGTGATAATTATTTTAATATTTTATTCTCATCTTCTTTTTCAAATAGGTCAGGAGTTTACTGTGCCTGAAATCATTACCATTGCTGTAGTGGCTGCACTGTTACTTGTCGCTGTCCTTTTTTTGGGTGCTTCTTGTCTGATCCGATCTAGGCGCACCAAAAATGAAGTCAGCAAGCCTCTCCTCACTGATCGCTATCAATGCTATGTTGAAGAATATGAAGAACTACCAAATCCTAATCAGTCCATGGTCTGACAGCCGCCTGCTTGTCCTCTAATGCAGTAAAATGGGAAGCAACCTGATGGAAACACAATTGTCTTTTTGCTTCCTTTCTTTCTTTCTTACATAGATCTGTGTTGGAATGAAGGCATTGTTTTTCAGAGCTGAGAATTCAAGAATCTTTTCAATGGGTTCTGATTATTAGTTCTATTTAAGATGACACATTGTACCAGCTCCATGACATCCAAGAGGAAATTGTGGTGACCTTTGTGGTATTCTAAAGACTTCCTGTATGAATAAACAATGTTTCCATGTAAACATCTCTTCTTCAAATATATGAGTGGCCATTCTTACATGTGAACATGCAAGTGCATTGCTATTGTTGATATTGGTCAACAGATATAAAGGCAGCCCTATAGATTAGTTAAAACAAGTTACATGATATTGCAAACAAATAGGATCTTGATTAGCTTGCTGAAACCAGTCTCATTTTGGTGTCAGCATATATTATTTGAGCTCAGGTGTGAAGCTACAGTGAAGTCACAATCCTTGTCACACTTAGTAAGAATAAGAGCTACTACAGATGCTTGCCACCCTTTCCCACGCTTATTTCTCTGGGCAGGAAACTGCCTGTGTCACAGTTCACCTTCTAATACTGAGGTCTTTTAGGTCTGCAAGAAAGCATAAGTCAAAGGACATAGTGCTCTGTGGATAGTATCAAACACATTGTTTAACTTCAGCATACTTCATCACTTATCAACCTTCTGTGTGTTTCAAGTAAATACAATAAAATCTTGTTTCACTGGTTCCAGTTTTTCAAAAGTTCCTTCTTTTTTTCAATATATTTTTAAGAAAAAAAAAAAAACTGAAGTCTAACTCTGTTCTTTCAGATGACCTGTAACTCTCTATCTAGACCAAGCTGCCCTAAAATTCACAGTTTTACCTGCCTCTTCCTTCCTCAACGCTGAGATTAAAAAGGTATATACCACTGCTGTCTCTGACATGAACTCAGTGGCCTGCTCTTTGATTACCTCCCCCTAAAGGGGAGCAGCCTTACCAGGCCACAGTGCAGCCAGACCTGATAAGCTAGGGTCAGATGGAAGGGGAGGAGGACCTCTCCTATCAGTTGACTGGGAGAGGGGCATGGGAGGAGATGAGGGAGGGAGGGTAGGATGAGGAATGAGGGAGGGGGCTACAGCTGGGATACAAAATGAATAAACTGTAATTAATACATAAAAATTAAAAATTTAATTAAAAAAATATATACCACTATGTGTTGCCTTCACCTTGAATTCTAACATGATATGCACTTTTTTCCATTTTATGCTATTAAACAGTATTTCAGAGATGAGCTAGTCATAACAAATATTCTAATTAAAATGGGTCAAAAGAAATAATAGCAATATAATTCCACAAAACATGGCTGGTTTGATATAACAGCTTAAATACTATTAAATACTATTAAGGCTATGTAGACAAAATATACAATGGAACATGTTAAATAATATATATAAAAACCAGTACTTTTAAATTTTTCAAGTAGCATGATTCAGTTAATTCTCTTCAACACATCTTATCATGTTGAAATATTATATATTTATAACACTTTAGACATGTTATTACAAAATTTTTAACATAAAATATCAATGAAACTAAACAACCCCTTTTCATACTCTGGATATTTAATATTTATTCAGTTGAAAACATCTATTAGTCATATACCAAGTCTCAGTGATAGTTTGAGGCACTGTAAATTTTTGAAGAAAGATAGGATAGAGAAATTCACAAGATCAAGTTTGACTTCGGCTTGAGGAAGGCCAATGAATTTACCAAATATACAAGTACAGGGGCACTATTTTCAGAATGACAGTGTGAGCAAAAGCACAGGAGTTTGAAAGAGTATAGGCCATCCAAAAATATAAAGTAGGTCAAAGTGGCTATGTCCTGGAGAGGAGTAAAAAGATCAATGGAGAATGAAACTACAGAGAGTTCCATATGCACTCCTGAACATTTTGGAACTCATCCTGCAGAAAAAAAAAAAAAAGGAAGCCGAGAGGGTGTAATATGTGATATGCATCTATGAAAATTGCAAAGGTCCAAATATATCTGAGCACAAGGGTCTTCTATGAGACTGTTTATTCAACCAAGGACCAGGCATGGATATAATCTACAACCCCTGCTCAGACATAGCCCATGGTAGCTCAGTATCCAAGTGGGTTCCCTAGTAAGGGGGACAGGAACTGTTTCTGACATGAACTCATGAGCTTCCCCTCCCCACTGAGGGAGAAGCAGCCTTGCTAGGCCACAGATAAGGACCTTGCAACCATCCTGAAGATACCTGATAAACTAGGGCCAGACAGAAAGAAAGGAGGACACCCCCTCTCAGTGGATTCAGAAGGGGGCAGGGAGGAGATGAGGGAGGGAGGGAAGGATTGGGAGGGAAAGAGGGAGAGGGCTACAGCTAGGACACAAGTGAATGTACAAAATTATTTAAAAATAAAAAAATATTAAAAAAAAAAAAAGAAAATGGCAGCAGTGCTAAAATCTGTCAATAACATTGATGAGAGGAGAGGCCAGAAGAATATATGTGGAGTAGTTAATGGGAGAGAGAAGTCCTGCCCAAAATATAGACATGGATAATAACCAATTTCACTGCAGGGGAGCTACACTCTATCTTATAAATATAGTCAATTTTCCTGTTTGTTTTTCATGGATGCTTTTATTTATTGTGCAGCTCATGGGGAGGTTTTATAACTTATCTTGATTAAATGTCCCTTATTTGTTCTGTAATATGTTACATTTTCCATGACAAATAATATTCATCTGCTGTCTTAGAAAACTGGCTTTTTTTCTGATTTTTAAGACAGGGTTTCTCTGTGTGGCCCTCTGGAACTCACGCTGTAGACAAGGCTGGCCTCCATTCAGAAATCTGCCTGCTTCTGCCTCCCTCTCAAGTGCTGAGATTAAAGGCATACCGCACCACCACCCGGTGCTGAGTGCTGAGAACTGGCACTCTTATCACTCTTTGTGTTCTCTTACAAAGCATAGGGAAGTCATTACACACTCATCAATAAGAAAATTCCACACCACTTAAAACTCATCCATCCCTGCGGCACTGGCTCATTCTCATGGCCCAAGAATGGCAGCCTGGCAGGCTAGGAACCATGTGCACCCACACGGCTACATAGTGATAACCTGGTCAACGAGAGAGAGGAGAGAGAGAGAGAAGCTGTTGAGTTTGTGTGACTCTATCTTTATTCTCAGTATCATATTTCAGAAATAGTGATATATTTTTGTTTACTTTAATTTTTAAAATTGGAAGTAAGAAGAAAACTTTGAGATCATTAAATAACCATTCCATGGTTTGGGTTATGAGATACTTGTTCTGAGTACAGTTCATGACTATTTAGTAATGCTGTGTGTTTTCATCCTTTACTTTGTTCAGAGCAAAACTGTTTTATCAACCAAGCAATAGGATCTGTAGAGAATATAGGACAGTAGTAGGTGGTACTGGGAGAAGGAGGAGGTGGTGGCTCACTTATAAATAGAGCCTAAGCAGGACCCAAAGCCCACATTCCAGGTGGGCCAGTGAGTGCTGTGCTTTCATAGACCTCTTCTTTATGAAGCAAGTGTGTAAAGGTTGCCATAAAGGACAAACAAGTAAAATACTTCATCCATTACAGTGGTTGGAATAAGTACTTGGGATGACTGGGTTCCAGAAAGCAGAGTTCTCAAATACATGGACCAATTAGCAGAAACAGCAAGAACTTCAAAAGTCCAATCATGAACAATAGGCAGAGGGCAGAATGAGGGGGGCTGCTCCAGGAAAGAAGACATTTGCTCTGCAACAGAAAAAAAATGTTAAAGTTAAAACAAACAAACAAACAGAAAACTCCTAGAAATGGAAATGGTGATAGTACCAGTGAGATGCCTCAGTGTCCTAGGAAGAAAGGAGCCCAGGCAGATCCTACAGTTGAAAATGAAGAAACACTCATGGCAGAGTTGAAGTTAAAGATTCCTGAAGAGTTGAAGCCATGGCTTGTGGATGGCTGGGATTTGATCACCAGGCAAAAGCAACTTCTTCTTCTCCCTTTTTTTTTTTTTTTTTAATCTTCCTGTCAAGAAGAATGTGGACTCTATTTTGAGGATTATGCAAATTATAAGAAATCTCAAGGAAATACAGAGTATGCTATTAATGAGGTTGTAGCAGAGATAAATAAGGGCTTCGATGGAATGTGGGGCACTCAGCTACCCTACAAATTTGAGAGACCACAGTATGCTGAAATTCTTGCAGATCACCCTGCACACTTCCTGAGATTATTCGTGTAAACTGGAGCTACATTGGCCTATACACCTCTAGCTGAGGAAAGCCTTGCTTTATTACTGAACTATCTACATGATTTCCTCAAGTACCTGAGGAAGAAATCTGCAACCTTGTTCACTCCCAGTGATTATGAGGTGGCTCCTGCTGCAAACCCCAGGAAGGGTGTGCGTTCTCTCACCTGTGCCTGGATCTCTGTAAACAGTTTGGTTCTTAGTCCTTCCCTTGTACAAATGATGTGCTTTGAATGCCATCAGTGTATAACAGAGTCCATGTTTGTTTTCTGCTTCATTTAAACAGGAAAAATAAAAGGAGTCACTGCCCCTCTTTTTCTTTCTTTTTTCATTTCAAAGTTTCTACTGTGTATTCAGTGATGGACAACAGAGAGACATGCTGTAGAGTGTTTTATTGCCTAGTTGACAAAGCTGCTTTTGAATGCTGGTGGTTCTGTTCCTTTGACAGTGCACACTTTCATAAAATATGTTAGTGCTTTATGACAAAATCCTCTGATTTCTGATGCCAAAGGTTCACTTCAGTGTGTATAACTGAACACTCAGTCATCTATGCCCCCCCCTTTTTTTTGATGGTCTTTAAAGAGCCCATCCTTTGCAAGTAAACAATGTTGTTCCTTAGACATTTTATCCTTTTTTAGTTGTTAAAGAATGGTGGCTTGTTTTCATGGCTTTTCTGTTTGTATCTAATGCATGTTTTAACA